AAGAGTCAGAAGCAGTAGTGAGGGTTTAGAGGGGTTTATATGTCTGTAACAGTGGCTCTGAGAGGTGGTTTTGCTGTGTATCTGGATTAGAAGGCTGGTCTCTGTATGCTGCTGACAGAGAAGTGTCATCTCCAAGAAATGAATTATCCCCAGCGGCTGGATCTGGGCTGTTAAAAGGCTGAGAAGTTGCCGCATGGAGATAGTCTAGTGTTAACGATTTTGTGATGTGCAGCAGCCAGACTGTTTTTGGAGTTTGCTGAGTAGCCCATTTTAGTGGTGCATTGATTGATATACTTCTATTTCAGATCCTGATCAGCAGCTCTGTCTTGATGCCTTCAGTGCTTTCTGTGCTTGAAGGAATAAAAATAGGGGCACTAGAAAAAAAAAAAAGAGTAAATAGCTTTATGTAAAGGCAGTATTAAGGCAAATTTACTAATAAATGCCTTCCTCACCTTCCAGCTATGTTGAAAGTGGCCCCTTCCCCCTTTTTTTTCTGGAACTCTGAATATACAACTTAAAGTGGATTCAAAGCTGTTGATGGAGAACATCAGTTACTCTGAGAGGAATGTCACTGTAGCATTGTTTTTGTAAAGTTTGGGGGCTGTTCCTGCATGTTCAATTCTGTTGTTTTTTGTGAAGAATGCATTTCTTTAACTGAGAGATCTCTTTTATTTGTCAGGTAGCGGCTCTAATCCTTTCCAGCATTTGGAGAAGAGTGCTGTGCTTCAGGAGGTATGACTAATCATAGTATACTATACTGTTTAACTCTTTTTTTTTTTCTTCAGGAAGTGTTAGCAGCTTAAGGCAGTTTTACAGTGCAACTCTCGGGAAATGTGAATGACTAAATTCATATAGGTAATTTAAAATCACAGGGTATGTAAACTAAGTGCACATGAAGTTACTCTGTGAGGGGTGTATGTATGGTAATTAGATTACACATGGCTTCTGCTTTCCATGTGGACATGCAGGATCTCAGTGTGCTCTTTCTGAAGAGGTGATCTCCCTGTTTTCATATGCTTGTTGAACGTACTGTGTCACGGTTTTTCCTGCTTGTCTTTGTGTACTCCAACAACGAGTGCAAGCTGTGAGGTGAACATGTGGTTAAATAACGGGGAATTTTGGTGGGTGCAAAGAGCTATAAGTAGGAACTTAATAATTTCAATTTTGTATACCTGCAAACTAGTGCTAAGTAGTGTTTGGGCTACAGATGCTATGGAAAGAAAGAAGTTGTTATGCTTTTATTTTAAAGTGTTTTTACTAGTTCCAGATGGTGAACCAAGTCATTGCCCTTTGTTCAGATTGCTGCCCATCCAGCAAACTAAACGTGCATGAGCTGAATGACAGGAATATGCTTGCTGGGACACTTTTTTTGAATGAGAAAAGTTATTAGCTGCTTGACTGAAAACAAATTGCTTTACTTTCTATGGTGAAAGAGAAATTTTTATTGTTGGGTTACATTGTAATACAATATTTATGCTATGTTTGTAGGCACGTATCTTTAATGAGACCCCTATAAATCCACGAAGATGCCTGCACATCCTTACCAAGATCCTTTACTTGCTGAACCAGGTACCTGTTATCGGTTTTTTTCCAGCCAGAATGAATATTCCTGAGGCTAATTTCTCATAACTTTCAGTGTGAAAGTTTTATACCTCTTCTTGTCGGATTTGGGAGGTAGCTTTTATGGAGATCAGAAATGGAGTGTTTATGCTGTAGTATTATGTTGTCCCTTCCAATTTTACCGCTAAGGTGAGTGAGGTAGATGTTGCTGAAGCCTTTAAGACTTTTTCTTGCATGCCAAGTGAGAGCTGTTGGTTGGTCTCTGATCACTGCAGCACTGTGCAATTAAAGAGCCACTTGTGTTTGCCTAGTTAAAGTAGGAATAACTGAGGTGAGGTAAGAACAAAGGCCAGGAAGTGATGAAGTGGAAGGTGTCTTTTTGTTTGGGGAGAAATTGGAAGATTTTTTTTTTTTTTTTCCTCACGTGGATCAGGTTTCCTGCATGTCAGGTGGTATTTGACATAGAGTTCCGATCAGTTAGGAGGGACCTGTGCTGTTTGGTCTTAACTGGCACCAGTCATCTTTAAGCAGATACCCTTTAAGCAAGGGCATCCTTCTGGTTGACAAGCATGACACAAACCCAACTGCTCACACATTAATGTCAAAAGAAGGGACACCAGCTACTTGTCAACCTATTCCATCGCTCTACCACTGTGGATGGCATTTATATTGAAACCAAGTAGATAATAGTGGTAAATTTGGCATATACTCCCCAGGAAACACAAGGTGAGGGAGGGACTGTTACTCACACAAGGAAAAAGTCTTCAAAGAAGAGATTCTTCGTGTGTGAGTAGGTATTATAAGTGGGGGCTGAAAGGTGGAGACGGTTAGCTAATGACAGTGTTTTTTTCTCTCACTGCTTTTATGCTGGTTTCAGGGTATTCTTCGTGTGTGAGTAGGTATTATAAGTGGGGGCTGAAAGGTGGAGACGGTTAGCTAATGACAGTGGTTTTTTTCTCTCGCTGCTTTTATGCTGATTTCAGGGTGAACACTTTGGAACCACTGAAGCCACAGAAGCTTTTTTTGCAATGACTAGATTATTTCAATCTAATGATGTAAGTACCTAGTGTTTACCACTTGCTGCCTCCTTGGTTTTGTCTGGATTTGCAGTAATTACAAAACAGTTGGATATTGGGATGTGGGAGGAGGATGAGGGAAGTACTTCAGAGAAGCAGCTCTGCACGCAAAGTACTTGCTGAAGGCAATTCATGGTTTGGAAACAAATGACTGAGTAATAACATAAGGTTACTTCTGCAGGTTGGTTTTGGTGGTGGGGGTTTTCTTCTGAGTTGAATTACCGTTGCAAAGAATGTGAATAATGACAGAAAGCCTGAATATACAAATCAGTATAATCTTATGACTGTTTCTTACACTCGCAAATAATCCCTGTCTGTTTAACTCAAAATAGAATTTAAAGTTACCTGTAGATCAAGTACAGGTATTCCCTAGAACAACTTGCTCTATTCATGAATCAGCATGGAATCAAGGGATGAAAACACCCTAAAAATGCTGGATTAAACTTTGGACTTTGTCTAATGTCAAGTCCTTCTCTGATCTCTTTTACAGAGAATGTAAGAACTCAAAGTATGCTTCATGTGATGGGTCTCATTAATTTTTGTTCAAAAATGAACCGGCACTTCAGGTTTTTAGAGATCTCGCGGAGGAAGTTTGCATATGTAACTGTTTAAAGATGGAATGAAAATTTTGGAAGTACAAAGTGTTTGAGACCTCTCTCATATCCACATTTTAGAAAGTAGGGCTTTTTTTAAAATGTAAATATGTCATTTGCTTTCAAAGAGCTAAAGTGCTAGTGCTCTTTGCATATTTCTATTTTTCTTTTACAATAACAAATGGATCAGAGGAAGTTGTTTTTAAAGCTTTTAGCTGATGATTGTGAGGCTTCTGCATACAGATGTGATGTACCACTTCTTTCATAATTAACATGGATTTTTTTTTAATCTTGTCATTTTACAAGATACATATCTCTTATTTTTCTGGTTTGTTTGATAACTGGATAACAACCTTACTCCCTATTATCAAACATGGTTTTACTTATGTGCTTATAACTTTGTATGGAAGTGGGGAAGAGGATGTTCTATTTAAAAGTTTATTTAACTTTTAAAATGAAATATTTAACTTTTAAGTTTATTTAACTTTTAAAACTTCGAGGAAGTGTTTCTTCACAATTGCCATTGGGTTTAATGGTTTTCTGCAATACACTTTCACAGCAAACCCTTAGAAGAATGTGCTACCTTACTATCAAAGAGATGGCCAATATTTCTGAGGATGTCATCATTGTCACAAGCAGGTAATAGAACCCGCAGAAAACACAGTATCGGGGCTCTGAAACAAGTAACTGCATACTAATGTGATTGTTTTAGTTGCTATGATTTTCTGTAATTATGCTTTATAAAGGATGCAGCAAGGGAAAACAAATTGTTCCGTGATGCAGACTATGTGTCACTGTATGAAATGTTAATTTCTTCCTACTGTGTTACTATGCTCTTTCTAAAAAAGCAAGAGGCTTGCCTGCAGTTTATCAATTGGTTGCTACTTTCTTTTCTTGGTTTTTTTTTGTTTGGTTGGTTTTTTCTATATTTTTTATTATTGGTGCTTGGTGATTTTGTCAAAATCTAGGCTGTGACTTCTGTTTCACTTCACTGTCAGAGCAGTTAGGGAAAAGCAGAGCAAAGTTCAGTTCAGTTCGCCAACTGAACTATCTTTTTTTTTTTTTTACTACAGAATAGCCATTACAGTTGTTGTTGCAAGAGCAAAAATTGAATCTGTGGCATGTGCTAAGCTATTGTTTTATTTTATATTTTTTTAAAACTGTTCAGCAAACTGAACTTTGCTGTTGTCTAAACCAAAATTTCACGTGGTAGAAAGAACAACACTACTAAGAAGGAGAATGGCTGAGCTAAATAAACTAGGCCTATAGCAGAGCAATGTTATGGACTATGCATTTGGTAATGTTCTGTATTTCCACAAAATCTGATGTTAATAATTTTCAAATAGCTGATTATTAAGAAATTGTTTCTAGCCAATACTAGAGCTTAGCAGTTGTGTGGTAACAGCTGGACGAACAGCTAAATGAGATGAGGTAAATGTCACAAAAAGACCAAGACATTGAGATACTAAAAAAGTGTTAACAGAGTATCTTTGATTATTTTAGTTTGACCAAAGACATGACAGGGAAGGAAGACGTATACCGAGGCCCGGCCATCAGGGCACTCTGCAGGATCACTGATGTAAGTACAAATCACATCGCTGTTGTGGGAGAGATAATGAGTATATTTAAAACAGAAAAACTACTCTTTTGCAGGGTGTATTATAGTAGTAATGGAACTGCTGCTTTAGGGAGGACAGCTCTGAAGCCCTCTATGGAAGTGTAGCACTGTAAACATAGAGTTAGAAGGCAAGAGCTTTGGAGCTCTGGTTTCTGATCTAAGATAGCTTTGCTGTTAACTCCGATCATGTCACTGAACCTTCAGGACTGGGCAGCCGATACTCATGTCTCCCTTGCAGAACTATGCATTTCCAGAATTAGTTCAGTATTTTTTTTCTGAGGGCCTTTTGAATGTGCTGTGCATATCCTTTTTGCCTTATACTACTTTTCTTTCTCCCTTTCGTAGGGTACGATGTTACAAGCCATTGAGAGATACATGAAGCAAGCCATTGTGGACAAAGTCCCTAGTGTGTCTAGTTCTGCACTGGTGTCTTCCTTAGTAAGTAAAGCAGTAGACTATTGTAAACCTGTGTGTTGTGTTGTGGTTGGGAAGGCTAGTCTGCTGTGTTGGTAGCTCTGCCTGGCCTTTGTTTTGTTCTTTCTTCATCTCTTTTTTTCCTTTGAGATGAGTCTTCCTCATCTCCTCACTGGAAAATGAACAAAAAAATAGCAATGGAGTTTCCTTTGTCTCAAGCAAACTCTGTCTTCTCAAACTCCTTCCTTAACATTCTCTTACTTTAGAGTACATCAGTTTTAATAACTTTAAGTGCAAAATGCTCAGTCATCTCTCTGTGCAGTTAGTGTAGAACATTAATTTCTCTGGGGAGGGGCCTGGTCTGTTTTGAAAAGCCAAGCACGCTGATGACCATGAAAGCGCTTATCAGTTTGGTGAGAGTAAGTAGGTTGTTCTGTGCTGTGGAAGGACTAACGCTGGTGACTGCGAAAGAGCGTATGAGTTCTGTAACAGGCAATGAAAGCAGTCTGCTTTGTGCTCTGCAAAAAACAAATCCATGAAATTGCTGCCCTGATAAGAATGCAATTCAAGATTATTTTTCCTAATACATAGCAGGAGGGCAAGATGAAGAAGTTCACTGTGTTTCTCTCCCTTGTTTAGGAGAAAAGGCTGGAAGAGATCTTGTTAGATTAATATTTTTATTATAGCAGAGAATACAAGTGAAAGCATAGTAGTCTGAGACTGAGATGTAAGAAAAACCGGTGGTTTATAGGTACTTAAGATAAAGAGACTAGCTGCCTTGGTGAATCCAGAAGGCAGAGCGGGAGGTAAGAGGTCCAGCTGATGAGGTGGAGTAGAACCTGTGTTAGGACCCTGAGGGTGCAAACAAAGCTGTATTCATAGTGACAACTGAAGTCTTCCTGCTGGACTAAGCATAGGCAGGTGAGTTGTCCTGGTATTGTCTTCTGTCCTGTTTGAACATAAACAAAAACTCTCCAGGTTTCTTTTTTCTTTATTGAAACAAGTGCCTCCATATAAACCATGTATTCGGGAGTTATTCTTTGTTACCTGTAGTATGCAGCAAAGCCCCAGACTGTCCTGAAGCCTTTAGACTTAAAAACCCAAAACAAGGCTCATGGTACTTCACTGTGCTTCTAATGTTAGTTTGTCTGTGGTCTCAATTTGTGGCTTCTTCCAGCATATGATGAAGATCAGTTACGACGTAGTCAAACGGTGGATCAACGAAGCTCAAGAAGCAGCTTCTAGTGACAACATCATGGTGCAGGTATGTTTGAGGGTGATTGCCCCAGGAAGCTCTAAACACACTACAGGGTTTTAATGGTATTCTGGGAGTTCTTAAGGTAACCTTAGAAAAAGTAACTGGTTTTCCTTTTTCCCTTATACTTTTAAAAACAAGAATTGTGACGTGGAAACAACTCAACCGTTTCAAAAAATCTTGAGTTTCTCCATGATCCCAGTGCAAGATTCTTAATTAAGAGCTGGCTCTTTAGTGCAGTCCTCTGCCCTTTCCCTGCTAACCTTCTGATAGCTGGGATGCAGCTGACTGTTTCACAGTAGTTGTGGCGGAAGGGCTCTGAATCTGAGTTTTCAAAAAGCTGAAGAAATTATCTCACTGCCTCCCAGAACACCAGCATCTCTTGTCTTGGCCTTCAGAAAATTTGCCCGTTGCTACAGGACCACAAAGATTAGCCTGAATATCAGTAAGATATCCATATTAGCAAATTCTTTGCACAAATATTCCAAACAGCTGTGGAAATGAAAGTATTCTGTTGTTCAGTCAGTGTTACAGACTAACGATCTCTAAAATCAGCTTTGTTCTTGCCCAGTTTAACAGCTTCATTAAGCCTTACTGTGAATTAGTATTATGGCAAAAAACCCCAAAACAAGTTGGCAAGCAACTAGAAATGTTCTTTTGTACTTTGACCATAAATGCCTGAAGGATTTTTGTAAGGTCAGCTGTCATTTAAAGGCCTTGGGATGTTCTGGATGTGGAGTGGACTAGAAATGCAAGTGTTATTTTGCAGTATAATTTAGTAAGCTGAAGCCTTTGAAGTTCTGACTTTTAATGGGGAGAAAAATGAGTAAACTAACTTCCTGGCTCGTTTGATCTTCAGAAATATGTTGAGACTGTCTTATGGTGGAGAGGAAGGGGAAGGAAATACTGCAGATCTTTGTAACTTGGCAGGAAACTCAGATCATTTGAGGTTAGAAGATATTTCTACTAGGAAACAGCAATTATTAGCCCTCTTTTATGTCCTACAGTCTGGCTTTTCTAACTGCAGTGTGTAATCAATACCTGCATATGTCTGTTTCTGATTTCCTAGTATCATGCTTTGGGGCTGCTCTATCACCTTAGAAAAAATGATCGCCTTGCGGTTTCCAAGATGCTGAATAAGTTCACTAAATCTGGACTGAAATCCCAGTTTGCGTACTGCATGTTGATCCGAATTGCAAGCAAACTCTTGAAAGAATCTGAAGAGGGGTAAGTAACAGGCAGCATGTGAATGACAAAAACTAATTATAGTTTGAGGTAAACGGTAGCTAGGAAATTTGCAGTTTTTTTAAAGTTTGTGGAAATCTACACACAGAACTCTAGTGTTAAAAATAAAATGCAGGTAGAAGCAGAATGCTAGACTGAACTGAGTGGTGGTATGCGTGGCAGTTGTGTGGCGGGGTTTGGATTTTTGTCTTGGCACCACACCACCAAAACTTAGCTGCGAGTAGGATTAAAACTGCAGACTAATCTCTGGAGAGGTTTTGTACTTTGTCTAGTTAGGTGCATTTCAAATGCCATAAGAATCTACCTATATTGTGGGGATATAAACAGAAGAATCTCTCCTATTCTGATCTCTCATACTAGCAGAGGAGGGTATAGTTATCTGAGAAACTCACCTCCCGATGAAATTCTTTTAACAGTGGAAATTTTTGTTAGTGGTATGTGATACACGATTAATAGTAAAGTATTTATTTCTAGAATGCAGCATTTCTAGCTTAAAGAAGATAATGTAAAGGTGAATAGAATAACAGTAAATAGGAAGTTTAGAGCTCAAGTATGAGTTAAGCGATATGGCGGTGTGTGAAACCTGAAAGCCAGTGCATTAGCTGTGCTTTCTGTCAGGTTCTCAGAAGCATGGTATTGGTGGTTTGTGCGTATTCAGCATCACGCTGTGAAGTGTCTTCTTTTTGTAGCCATGAAAGTCCACTGTTTGACTTCATTGAGAGCTGCCTGCGGAATAAGCATGAAATGGTTATTTACGAAGCTGCTTCCGCAATCATCCATCTCCCAAACTGCACAGCCAGGGAGCTGGCACCGGCTGTTTCAGGTTGGTCAGAGAGTCCTTCATACCACTGAGGCAGCTGAAAGAAAGGGTGGTAAAACATGTCAGAGACAGTACAGCTGAACTAAAATACTGGACTCAAAACCTGAATTTTCTGATTGTCCCCAGATTGGGGGACTTTGGGATCCCCTTTTGGATCCCAAGCACATTGATCCCTTTTCTCCATTTCTTCCAGAGCTTTAGAGAATGGACACTAGAGGTGACACAGGGTGATACTTACCTTTTTCCAGCTGCAGGAAGTTGGGGTGGGAGGGAAGGGAGAGAAGTCGATAGCACGGAAATGCCACAGGCGACCGTGCAAACCACCTATTACTGATGTAAGATGAAAAATGGGAGGTTATTTTTAACTTGCATGTGAAGGTAGCAATAAATTATGGAGAGAGCTGCATGAATATTTAGCAGCACGTTGCTGAATGTGGATACATTAGACTTTCCTCTCCATTCCCTTTCTTTGAAAGAGACCATATCTAGTTTTCTGCTGTGGTGAATTCTGACTAAACTATTTGCACTTCTTGGTATCAAAGTGCTGGCACAAGGCAATTTCTCTTTCCTCATCTGGTATCGTCATGAGGGCTCTCGCCTTCAGCTCCCCAGACATGACAGGTGCCTAGAGTTGCAGTACTGGGAGCCATTTTTTGTTAAACAGTCTGTAACATTTTGTTGTGAGTTACTTATCTTGATTTTTTTTTTTTCTTTTTTTTTTCTTTTTTCCCCAGTGCTGCAGCTTTTCTGTAGCTCTCCCAAACCTGTCTTGCGATACGCAGCTGTACGGACCCTTAATAAAGTGAGTGCTTCCAAAAACTTCTAAATAAGCATAAATCTCTGAGCATCAGAGGAGACCACACTTCAGTGCCTAATGATGTGTTACCTAAAGTAGAGCGACTGCTCTTCTGATTACTGTATTTGGAAATGCTCCATGCTGGAGAATTGGCTTTTCTATGCCAGATCTCCTGGTGTGACAGAAATCTTTTCTGCACTCACGCTATGTTTGCTCATTTCTGGACTACAGGGCTATAACAAACTGTAGTTGGATAACTTGTAAGCTTTCAGCTGTAAGGAAGCAGAGTCCCGGCTATTGAATGCTGCAAAAAGCGTGAATAGGATGTGTGTGAAGGAAATAACATTCTGATTTAGTTAGAGTTGATTTGAAATGCTGAAACGGAAGAACTTGAGCTTTGTAGGTTTGGTTGCAATCCTTACAGAACAGAGCAGTACTTGGGGGCAGGGGGTGAAAGGCTTTAATCCTTGCCCCATCGAAAACTTTGAATTGTAGGATGTTACTGCCCCCACATAATTTTGGAATCACTTCCTTTTACAGGTGGCCATGAAGCATCCATCTGCAGTCACTGCTTGCAACCTGGACCTGGAAAACCTCATCACTGACTCCAACCGCAGTATCGCTACCCTCGCCATCACCACCCTGCTGAAGACAGGGAGTGAGAGCAGTGTAGACAGGCTCATGAAACAGATCTCTTCCTTCGTGTCAGAAATATCAGATGAGTTTAAGGTGTGGCATTGGAGGCCTCTGCTCTTTCCAGCTGCAGGTTTTTCTCCCATTCTTGTTTTTCTGAAGCTTTTCCCACTTGTTAATCCTTCAGTGAATTAGTCTGATAGAGCAAAGCCAGTTTGAAATTCAGAAAGTGTAGTCCTCTGCTATCCAACTTAAATATAGTGTGTCGTTTCCTCCCACCACTTCAAGAAAGGATGAATGTCATTTGATGGATTCCTGGCTCCTGTGCAGTATCCTGCAAAACCTTGTACTGCCTTCTGGTTGCCTCTTTGGAGAGGAAGAGGGATTTTTAACTGTTCTGATTGAGTTTAGATCACTTCAGTCTGATATGTAGTTAGGGAACAGTGTGAACTGTAAATTTCTACCTAATTTGTCAAGTTTAGTCCCTACAAACTCGGGTAATAACTTGGTTAAGGGCGGTAGGTCACTGGTACCTGCCTCTTTTACACCGTGGGTTTGCCTTGAGGAGCATAGCATGTCTCTACAAAGTCCATGTCCACTAGTGTGCCGTGGTCTTAAGTTCTTGTTTTTGTGAGAAAAGGGAATAAGTATTAGACAAGTTTAAAATTGCAAAGAGTTTTAATGACAAAATGTAACTAGTTAAGTTAGGATTAGGTCAGGATCATTACTGGGCAGAGGAAGTGAGGGGAAGCCTTTGATTTAGTGTAGTCCATCCTAAATTATAGTCCCTCTAGCAGAGCCAGATCTTGCAGCATGCTAGCACAAGGTTGTTACACACTTAGTTGTGAGAGTCCACCACCTGATTTTTATCCTTCTTGTACATGAATTTAATCTATCAAGGTGACAACCTGAGAGAGTGAGAAGCTTGTGTTTTTCATAGAAAAAGAAATGCACATGACTAATGTTCTTCTCTGTTGTTTTGCAGGTAGTGGTAGTCCAGGCTATCAGTGCTTTGTGCCAGAAATACCCTCGGAAACACAGCGTCATGATGACTTTCCTCTCCAATATGCTCAGGGATGATGTATGTGTGAAACTTTCTTTGTGTAGTTATTGGCAGGTAGCTCTGATAGATAGTGTGAAGGGTCTCTTCTGTCTTACGTCAGTGGGTACACAGCAATGATGGGGCCTGACTGATTAGCAGGACCTTGTTTATCTCATGGGTCAGACCTGTCTGAAATGTGCTCATGAATTAGAGCTGCTCAATCAAAAATTGATCTGAAGAGACGCTCAGATGATGTGCCTATATAGGTCAGGGAGGACTGGGAAGACCCTGTTAGGTCATCCAGCACGCCTTCTCTTTTCTCTTTATGTACAAATGCTTGTTTTTCTCAATGGAAAGAAGTAATTGAAGCATGAGGGGAACAGAGCAGCGCTGCGGTCTGAGCTCTGCCTGCCGGGTCAGTGTCCTTGATTTTCCTTTCCCAGGGTGGCTTTGAGTACAAGCGAGCCATTGTGGACTGTATAATCAGCATCATTGAGGAGAATCCTGAGAGTAAGGAGTCGGGCTTGGCTCACCTCTGCGAGTTCATTGAAGACTGCGAACATACTGTCCTAGCCACAAAGATCCTGCACCTGCTGGGGAAAGAGGGGCCGAGGACTCCGTCTCCATCCAAGTACATCCGCTTCATATTCAACAGGGTGGTGCTGGAGAACGAGGCTGTGAGGGCTGGTAAGTTCAACTGAAATGCTTGACGGTTTCATGTCTGAACTCTGCTAGAAGTCTGAGGGCTGAAACTGGCTTTGGGGGTGGGAAGCAGTGGTTACTCCACAGGCACTGTAGCTAGCTCTTCTATGCATCAACTTTGAAGGTCATTTTTATCCTGCAGTGTGTGTAAACACCTCATGTCGTCTTAGCATCAGCATTTGGTCCTCCTGCTTCACAGAACATGAGCAATGTATTAGCTTCTCGTCCCTTCTTTGAATGTCTTCTAGAAGTTGAGAGGTGATAGATGAGGAGAGGACACTGCTAGTTCACTATTTAGTGTGATGGTCTGCTATAGACTATGATCTCGCTGCATGGAAATCTCCCACACGCAAGATAAGGCTTCCTCCTTGGAAGCGTGTTGCAGACTGATCCTTCCTTCCTGCAGAGCCTTTACAAAAAAAAGCCTTTAAAGTGTTCAGCTATTTTCATACTTGGGACTTGGCATTGGAGGGATATTGGCGTTGGCTTGATCTCTGCACATACTTGGGACTTGGCATTGGAGGGATATCAGCGTTGGCTTGATCTCTGTGTGTTAGAAGAGGAAGTACTACCATGAGAGAGGAAGCAAAATGAGCTCACAAATACAGTACGGTCCAGATTGCATTTGATTTTTGGTGGCAGCTCTTTTGATCACAGTTTCCTAGTTGTGACCTGGGAGCACATGCAGAGCATTCCCCAGAGCGTGTATGCTCTAAAGCTTATACTTCCTTTATAGAGCTTTCTCTTCTCTCTATATGTGGAATTTCTTCAAGCTGATGTTGAGCTGAAATTAAGATTAGTTTGGGCAGGCAGCTCTAAGTGATTGCTGAGGGGTTTCAGCTCCTTGCAAAGTCACTGCGCTTTCCAGCTGCAGGTTTTTCTCCCATTCTTGTTTTTCTGACGCTTTTCCCATTTGTTAATCCTTCAGTGACTTAGTCTGATAGAGCAAAGCCAGTTTGAAATTCAGAAAGTGTAGTCCTCTGCTATCCAACTTAAATATAGTGTGTCGTTTCCTCCCACCACTTCAAGAAAGGATGAATGTCATTTGATGGATTCCTGGCTCCTGTGCAGAATCCTGCAAAACCTTGTACTGCCTTCTGGTTGCCTCTTTGGAGAGGAAGAGGGATTTTAACTGTTCTCATTGAATCTAGTTCACTTCAGTCTGATATGTAGTTAGGGAACAGTATGAACCGTAAATTTCTACCTAATTTGTCAAGTTTAGTCCCTACAAACTCGGGTAATAACTTGGTTAAGGGTGGTAGGTCACTGGTACCCCCCTCTTTTACACCATGGGTTTGCCTTGAGGAGCATAGCATGTCTCTATAAAGTCCGTGTCCACTAGTGTGCCGTGGTCTTAAGTTCTTGTTTTTGTGAGAAAAGGGAGTAAGTATTAGACAAGTTTAAAATTGCAAAGAGTTTTAATGACAAAATGTAACACTGGATGCAGTCTGGCCCTGGTCGCCACTGGATGCCTGTCACCCCTGTGTGTGCAAAGCAGATTTATTTGAGGGTGTGAGCTACAGCTCATGGCAGAGATGCCCGCAACTGGAATGAGCCGTGGAGCTTGAAGTAACCTTATCTGGTAAGAGAGTTCTCTCAGAACAGAGTTGTAGTGCTGTTAAGCTGATCTTCTGTCATTCCCTGACACGAAACTATTTCCATTTGAAAATATGAAATATTTTCTGGAATTCTCTGGAATATTCCTTGTTATATGGAAAAAATAGTCTTTCCATAATACTGGAAGGTTTACGGTGTGGAAGTGAAAACCTGTGTAAGTTGGAACTTCAGGACAACAGAATGCACAGTGCTTTAAATCTGACTGTGAGAATGTGTTTGCATATTGTCCTGGTTTGGCTAAAACAGGG